ATATATATATATATATATATATATATATATATATATGGGTAGGAATCACTTGATTATGGTAAGGTTAGATGGTATCTATCCTCAACTGTTATTGGCCGTACATTTATAACAGGTATTGTGTATTCTTTAATCAATCAATATAGAGAGAGTTTTCTCCAATATTTTGAGATTCTAGCATTATGTCTTTGCTCATTATTGCAGCCATGATGAAGTGTAACAAGTTCTTGAATGGCAAAAGAATGTCTGGAGATGGAGGAAGAGACTCTCCTTTGACAGAACCACAAGTGATAAAGTGGGATATGTGGCAGAGCAGGGCCACATCATTATTTATGCAATTGATGGAAGCTTTTTTATGATTACAATACCCGAACCGGATGTTTGCTGGGTCCCAAGTCAACCAAGCCAGCTTGGCCAACTCAAGCCCAAGCCTGGTTCCTGATTACCGCAGGTTACATTTTACTTATGATACCAATCTCAGTTTCTCTGGATTCCAAGTAAGAGGCAGCCAACCCCAAATAATGGAACCATAGAAATAGCAACTAGTGAAGAAAAAGGGTGGTGATATAAAATGAATGTGTAATTTTATTATACTCAAACAAAATTGTACAATTTTATACCAAAAAAAAAAAGATGACTTGGTTATGAGCTTAGAAGCCACAAAGAATTTTGTTGGCAGGGATGTTTCTATGCAAGCCAAGGGAAGCCAAAGGTTCTATGCATGATGTTATGGAAACCATTGCCTTCTCTAGCTCCACACAAGCATTCTTGCTCAACAAGGAGACTATGTAGTCCATAACAGATGCCACACATGGCACTTGCAGAGGACCACATATTGTGAATCTCAACTCCTCTTCCGCCATAGATAGCAACTCTTGAAAGATGGGGTGGTTGAGATAAGCCAATGGAATCATGAACCGGCTTCTATCCATTGTATAGATGACAAAGTGGCCTTCATCAGCTACCAAACCCCCTCGCCGATTGGGAGTTCTCTTTTTAAAGGAGATTCTCTTCCTTTGTTTAATGGCGTGCTTTTGCCATTTGTGAGCCATCTATAAAAGTCTCTAAGAGTAGATCATGGCTCCAATGAAGATAAATTAACTTTGTAAGAATGGAATGGGAAGTAGTTGAGAGAGGTGGATGTGAGTTGTGTGGAACAGATGGGGTTGATATAGAGTTATTTGGTCTTCAATTGTATGGTTGAGAGAGAGAGAGAGGGGTAAGGCTTGGAAGGTAGGTAGTAGCACATCGAGTTGTTTGCAGCGACAACCCTAAGCCGGGTTCTGATACCACTTCTTGTGTGTGGAAGCTCTAAACGATTTGGGTTAATTTTTTACAAATAAAGTATGATAAATAAGAAGCTCTAAACTTGATGAGTTGATTTTTGGCAAATAAAGTATGAGAAATAGGAAGCTCTACACCCGATGGGTTGACTTTTGGAAAATAAAGTATGAAAAATAAAACATGAAACACATGCCACAAGAACACAAATATTTATATGGTTCACCCCATAATGGTTACATACACCGGCATGGCAAACTGAAATCTACTATACCAATGAAAGTTACATCAAATATTTTGGACAAAAGAGTTACCTCTCTAATACTCAACAAAACATAGTCAAGCAAACCCTTTTAAACCACTCTTCCTTCATTCTTTTTACTTCTGACAAGTATTACCGATAACACCAGATAGAGCGAGAGCAATAAGAAACTGACTCTCTCTAACTAAAAGGATAAACAATCTAAAATCCTTATGGGAACCACTTCTTTACAAGCCTCTCAATCTTTAGGAATCTTCAGGAGGTACCATCACAATGCTTCTCTCCATAGCTCTATTCTCCCTAAGAGGAAACCTTGCATCTTATGCACAAGAGGCCTTGCCCCCCTCTCTCTAGACAACCCTAATCCGGGTTCTGATACCACTTGTTGTATGTGGAAGCTCTAAACCCGATGAGTTGATTTTTGGAAAATACAGTACACTAAATAAAACATGAAACACATACCATAAGAACACAGATTTATATGGTTCACCCCACAAGGGTTACATCCAATGGTACGGCAAACTGAAATCCATTATACCCATGAAAGTTACATCAAATATTTTGGAACAAACAGTTACTTCTCTAACACTCCACAAAACACAGTCGTGCTTTTAAACCACTATCCCTTCCTTATCTTTATTTCTGACAACCATTACTGACAACACTAGATGAAGATGCGAGAGCAACGAGTAATTGATTTTCTCTCTAACTAATAGGTAAACAACCCAAAATCTCTATAAGAACTACTCCTCTACAACAAACAAATATCTCAATCTTAAGGAATCTTCAAGAGGCACCATAGGAAGCTCAATCTTTAAGAATCTTCAAGAGGCACCATAGGAAGCTTAATCTTCAGGAATCTTCAATCTTCTGTCCATAGGAATCTTTAATCTTCTGTCCACAGGAAGCTCTCTTCTCTCTAAGAGGAAACCTTCCATCTTATGTACAGGAGGCCTTGCCCCCCTGTCTATCTAAAGGAACCACTATTCCTCATAGAAAACTTATCTATATCAATCTCAATCCCGCATAATAGAAGATTTTCATATGTGGGTGATTTTGGGTAGCACCAAATCCAAGTACTTTGATGAAATCCTTGCAAATCACAATGCTTAATCTCAAACAACACATTAAAATTAGTGAAAATAGCAACATAATCAAAATACCTGAATGAATATTGAAATAAGATGTGTTTGACTGACTTGTGATTGGACATCCTTGTAACCTCACTAATTTCAGCTAACTATATTTTCCAATGTTAACTCTAAATTAAACGTTTTACAAAGCATCCAAAAAATGAAAAATATGTTCTTTCAAAGGCAAGACGCAAATGATGATAAGCTAAAAAGTTTTATTTTAAAAATAACACCAAATATTTTTCCGAGGCAAAAAACTAATGATAAAACTACAAGGTCATCTCTTTGGTCACAAATTGGGCTATATGAGAGCATATCTGTATATACCGGGTATGTCTTACATTCTGCAAGGAAACGTTCCCAAAGGCTCAAATATTTTTGGGATGAAAAAGGAAAACCCAAAAGATATTATAACTCATGTAGGAATATATTTTCCATTTACTCCATTAGGTAAAATCTCATACAAGATTAATTTTAGGACCTTAAATTTTGGGTATGTAACCTTTTTAACCCATAAAAAATAATGTCTCGAAATTGAATGGAAATTTAGAGGTGAGATCTAAGTGAAATAAAAATTAAAATTTAAAGTTTTTATTTTGAAAATAATCATCTAGTAGATCTTTAGTGGTTCCAAGAATTTTAGATTGAAGAAATCCTCCCAAATAAGTCTTCTAACTGAGGGAGTAGATGTGCACTATGCTCCTTTGGGAACATAAACGATCAAAAGAAAATGCACTTATTGGAGAACAAAATTGACAAAAAAGTAGAAACGAGTGAATTTGTTATTCAATCAAACTTGTGTAATATGTACATAACAGCAGAGGGCTTACGCCACTCTGATGAACCTTCCAATAAAAAGGAAATGTAAATTTTTGGCGCTCAATGTCCATTAAACAAACGCGAAAGCTTGGGAGAATGCTAAATCAGGGGCAGTTTGAGGAGGTATAGAGGCTCTGCATGAGGTTACTGAAATCAATGCCTTCTCCACCTCCACTGGGGGGTTTCTCCTTAGTAGGGACACTATGTACTCCAAAACAAGCGCCTCACAAGGAACCATCAGAGGACCATGTCCTGTGAACCCAAACTCTTCTTCAGCCATCAATAGTAACTCTCTAAAGATTGAACGGTTAAGATAAGGCAGGGGGATCATGAATCGGCCTCCGTCTATTGTATAGATGACAAAGTGACCCTCATCGGCCACTAAGTCATTCAGTTCATTATCCGATTGTTGTCGTCTTCCTCGAGAGGAGCGGCTCTGCCATTTGGGTTTTATCTCCAAGAGCTTCTTAGAGTTGATCATCGTGGCGGCTGGGGCGTAGAGAATAGATGAGTGTAGCTTGTATGTAGGAGAATATAGAAAACCAGAAAGGACTTTGCAGCATTGAGTAAAAGTTAAGCGTTTATATAGAGCTCGCAATCCATGGCTTGTGTGGTGTAGTGTGGGGAAGGAAATGAAGAGGGAGAGATAGTAGTGCAGAGGCACGTGAACCAGGGTCTACAATGGGTCGGCATATGTGGGTAGTTGGTTTGGCAAGTTGGGCCTTGAATGTTTGTATCCATCTGCACAAAAATTCACTCACTCATTTGTGTGTAGGGGTCCATGAAAGATCTATTTGTTTCTAGCCCGACACAAAAATCTCACCACACATTCAAGGCAGTGATTTTTTGGGATGTTGGTGTATGAGAAACATAGCACAAGGACCATGGTCCTCGGTGTTGTGATATTTAAGAGCATGGTCATGAATGAGAGGGAGTCCACTATGTTTATGTTTTGTTCAATTCCCTTCCCACCATACATTGCATTGTAGGTATCTGGTTCTCTTTGAACTATCAATAAAGAGCTTTGAATATTGTATATACATATGTATGGTTCTCAATACCCCTCCACCCTTGACACCACAAAGCCCACTGATTGTACTTATTGTGAAAGAGACCTTACCTATCCAGACGTTCTCCTTGACAACCCCTGACCCCCAAAAGCAATAAAACAAAACATTAACTCCCACTTACTTTAGGAAAAAGTCCATGTAGAGCCGAGGCTCTAAACAATCAAATTAGAGGCCACCTAAAATGTTTTACTAGAAGACATCGTTTTGATGCTCAAATATCCTCAAGTCAATCATCTCGACATCAAGATGCATAGACATAAGAAAAAAATGGATTTAAAGTTTTGAAAATAATGCACTTTATAATGTTTTTGGAACGTCAATTTTCAAGATTTTCAAGTTTTCATAGATCTGCTCGATCTACAATATTTTCGAAGCTTTAAATTTTATAATTAAAGATGAAAATATATTTTACTACTATCACAAATATTTCCAGTATTGAAACCACATTTCTTAAAACTATTTAAAGGTGCGCTTGACTTTTATTGTTTAGAGTCCCCGGCTCTATACAAACCACACCCTTTACTTTATACCTCCTCTTAATAAAATGGGGATTGTATACCACAAAGTGAAAGTCTCGCGTGCACATGATGTGGAAGGTGGAAGGATGCACGAGGAGCTTTTTAGTAGTTGAGATTGAACAGGCCACATCCAAAAGCCGTAAAATAGTTTTATTTCCTATTTTTAATTTTATTGAAAGTTATATTTATTTAAAATTTGAAAAGTAGATACATTTTTTTATAGTGCACTTAACCAGTAAAAAATAATATTGAGCTAACAATTGACTCAAAAGCCCTTGAAATATGTAGGCGTATTTTTGTAAATTGTTTCTTCTCAAAATATTTTTATTTTTATTCGTTTATGCTCTATATAAAGTATATTTACTCAGGGAATTTTAAAAATATATGAAAACTAAATATAAAATAAAAATAAACTAGTTTGTGGTCATTTGTCTGCACGCTTCAAGCGTACACATCATGTGGAAGTAATACCATCCCCTACTACAAAATTTCTTCTATTTGGTACAAAACCCCTCTCTTCAAGTATGATAAAATATTTTAAGATATTGAACCAGGGAAAAGTTTATATAAGGATGCAACCTTATAATGTAGAACTACGGATGCACCTCAAAATCTATTAGAAAAGTTAGTTTTAATGTCGAAAAACCCTTTGATTGATCATCTCGACATCAAGATGTATGACTATGAAAAATAAAAAGATTTTAACTCAGAAATAGTGCATTTTACAACATATTATTTACAAAGTCTATTTTCAAGATTTTAATATGTTTATAGATCTACTTGATTTTAACTATTTTAAAAATTTTAAATTTTATAATTAGATATAAAAATGGATTTTGAGATAATCCTAAGAACATTTTTCAAAATTATATATCATGATAACTCTACAGCTATGGATGCATCCTTATGCCAACTGCACCCATTGAACCAAATTAAGCACACCCATAGCAGCTAGATTTCACATCAAGGTGCCAAGGATGATTGCAAAATCGGTGAAGTAAAAGTAAATGTTTTTACTTTCTACTTTCTTCATATTTTTTGGCTCGGTCTGCCCGAGGCCCTACCAGTTCCAAGGTCGAGCTTAGACTAGCTCTATGGTGATGAGGGCCAGGCCAGGGCTAAGGCTGGTCTGGCCCTAGCTAGGCCAGGCCCGGACCATTGCCACACTTAACACCAGCACATAGACAAGCTACTCACTAATACAATCTTGTGGACATTCATTCATGTAGAGAAGAAGCAAATAAATCTGCTTTTTTAATATACATGCAAACCATTATATCATTCGGACTCTTGGAAATTTGCATTAGTGAATTTTACATGAACCTGGAGACTATGGAAGGTCAATAACTTTGGTCCTATCCAAAATCACCCATATAAGGAAATCCCATATTTTGTGGGATTGATTGAGATAATTCCATATGTTGTGAGAATCAGATAATCCTATATTTGGTGGGATCGATTAAGATTGATCAATGTAGAATTGAAATATTCCCATAATTTGTGGGATTGAGATTGATATTGATAAATTTCCTAAAGGAAATAGAAATCCAAAAAGATTAAAACTATTGGATTTATCTATTGGTCTTTTGAGATATATGTTATATCAATAGAAAGTTTCATATTTTATGTGGATTCCTAATTATATATATGGGACGAAAGTGCAGAGAAAATGGTGGTTCCCCTAGAAAATAGAGCTTCATTGAGACAGAAACATTGTGATGGTGTATCTTTTGGACTCTCGAAGATTGAGAGGCTTATCTCTTGTAGAGAAGAGGTTCTCATGGAGATTTTCAATTGTTTCCCCTTGTAGTGAGATAAAGTCTCGCGTGCTCTCAAAATTGTTCTCTTTCTAGAAAGTGGTCTAGTTATGGAATAGTGAGAGATCGACAGTGGAGCCGTTTGGGAGAGCAGGTTTAAATGAGTTTGCTCGACTTGGGGTTTCTTGTCGAGGTTTGTTCCAAAATCTTTGATGTAACTTTTATTGGAATAGTGGTTTTCTGTTTGCCGTGCCTGTGGATGTAGCCCTTTTGGAGTGAATCGCGTAAATATTTGTGTTCTTGTGGTATGTGTTCCATACTTTATTTATCATACTTTATTTGCCAAATATTGACCGATCGGATTTATTGCTTCCATGCACAATAAGTGGTATCAAAGCACAACAAATAACTTGATTAAAAAAGATATGATCCTGTTAAGATTAATTTCAGTGGGCAACAATTCTAATAACATAATTGAATTTCATGCACTTGAGAAGGGGATTACCTTGGCAAGGGACTTGAATTATGTATCTCTTGTCATGTGAAAGTGACTCCAAGCTTCTTGTTGATTCTATGAATCGTCTTTGCAAACGTCTTTGGAGATTACGTAATGTCACACCCCAAAAATTTACAATACTGATATTCTTGAGATGTGGCAATCAAGACATATATACATCTCTTGATAGGACAAATTTACAATGGCAAATTCTTACAAAGTAACAAAAGAAAGTTTAAGCACAACTACAATATCTTCCAGAGTTGATCTTGACGAGCACTCAAAATGAAACCGCAGTTATCCTGAATAAAATGTTTACCATAATTTGATGAGTTTGGCTACTCAGTAAGTGATCATCATAATCCTAAAAATAATCATGGTTGAAAGATA